GCCCAGTCAGCGCATCCCCAGGTGGCACAGCTGCTGCTGGGGCTGCCTCTGACTGGCATTTGCAGGCACCCCCTGCTTTCCTTCCCTTCGGCTGGGCTCGCGGGAACAGGGCCAAGAGAAGGGAAACGGCTCCCGGTCTCTGCTGCTGGAGAAGGACAAGAGCAGCTTTTGTCTTCAAAGGTCTGGGTCTCCCGAGGCCCGCTGGCGGATTACAGCCGCCAAGGCACAAATTGGCACCAAAAGCCTTTGTTCAAAATAGCATTTAAAGGTTGTTAGGAACACGCAACAGCAAAGGGAAAAAAGGATGAACGCTGGGCTTAAAGAAATGGACTTGGTGCAGAAGTCTGGACGCAAAGGAGTGAGGGATAGCCCCTTCAGAGGGAAGGCTGGGCTTCTGAGCAGGGCTGTCTTGGAAAGAAATCAAGCTGGGCTTGAGCACATACGGAATAAAATCGAATGCTAGCTCCTCAATAGAAGCGTGGCTTACTCTGCGTTCATGCTGGCATCCTGGAACGTTTCCTCCTGCAGCTTGCAGTGGGGCTGGGGCCCTTTCCCTCCCCATGGGCAGCTGCTGCCGCCACTCCCGGGAAATTCCAAGCACAAAAGCCTCCAGCGAACTCTTCCCTTGCTATTTAGCCACGCGGAGGGGGAGTTGGGCTTGCTCCGGGATGAAGCCAGGCGGCCCTCGTAGGGTCACCGTAGCAGAGGGGGCGAGCCCGCAGATCGGTTGTACCTGTGCTTGAATGATCTTTAGAGCTGCCTGTTATGAGAGCTACTGCAAAGTAAAGCTTCTCCGTGAGCAGAGAGTGGCCTGGCTTGCAAACCACAATAAGCTGTGGTTTAATGAAAAAACATAATTAAGCCATGGTGTGCGCACGTGGTAGAAGCCCATTTTATTTTTCCACATCTGCTTTTCCTTCCCGCAAGCTGCTATTCTGGCCTGGGTTCCTTTTTTCACCCTCTGACCTGCAGGAGAGCATCCGTTACTTGTGAAGCTATTGGAATGGCAGGAATCGGGTTTATCCTTCCGTGTCTCTGGCATGGCTTTGCGTCACCAGCACCTGGGCCCTCTCCTGTGGGCGCTCAAGCTGCAAACTTCCGTCCGCCAGCTGTGCCTCTCTGGAACCGGCCTGGGTGACGACTCTGCTGAAGAGCTCCAGGCCACCCTGAGTACCATCCCTGGGCTGAAGCTGCTGGATCTCTCGGCCAACCAGCTGGGCCCCGACGGTGTACGCAGGCTGGCTGCAGGCCTTGCCGGTTCATTTACCTTCCAGGTAGACGTTTATGCCCTGCCTTGAGTGCTGTGTGGGAAGAAAAGTGCGCTATACATTTAATTCAAAACGATCCATTCATAAATACTTATGTTTCTTTTGGGGGTAAGCACTGTGGTGCTAAGTACAGAAAGGGAGTAAGAAATAGGAAGCCGAGGCATTATGAGACGAGGAAAGGAATTAGCTAAAACCATTTTACACCAACCCCTTTCCCTCTGCCTCTCTGTCTCTTTCCTCCTTTCCACTACATCCACCCACCACTTCATACGTTGCTTTTTGTCCTGGCCCCCCTTTTTTTGAGGAGCTCAACTCCTCGCAACCACGACTTTCTCGGTCTTCCCTTCCTCTTAGCTCAGTTGCTTTTCCTTCATATATTCATTCTGCAATTTGATTTGCATTCAGCCATCGTCGCATCTTCTACTTTCATACGAGGTCCTTAGTTTTGTATTAAAATCTGCCTTCGTTTTTCACTCTTTCTCTTTTTGTTTGACCACATGTCCTTCTGAAGCCCCCATTCCTACTACTTTCAACCTACCCTTTAAGTTTCAGCCTGCATTCCTCCCACGCACCGCTGACGGTCTTTCTCCCCGTTGGCACGTTTCCAAATTTCCCAGCTCTGCCATATGCCACAGTCACCACCGGATGGTCCCCGGTTATCGACCTCCACGGCCTATCGTGGCTTTGGCCCACTGAGGCTTTCGCATAAAGCTATTTACTAAGGCAGAGAAGGGGTAGGCTGGGTCGCTGGCCTTAGCCTCACTCGTGACATGTCACGCTCAGCATTTCCTGCTAACTGTAAGGACAGTACCAGCCAGCTTGGGCGCTTTTGGGCCAAGATGCCACAAGTGCAGCCAGAGCCCAGCTTTACTACTGGGCTACCTCATGCCGTTCTGCTCAAGCTAGGGCCTGTAGTCTGCCCTGCATTCCACTAACTCGGAGATAGTTGGCAATCTCCTGGTGCCCTCAGGATGATCGTTGTTTTAATAATCCCTCAGAACTGGACAGGGTGTTTGTAGCTTCAGATGGATAGGTCAAGGGGGATCAGTTAAGGTACTGTTTGGGGCATCAGATTATCTTTCCTGACCCTCAAATCCCTGGCAAGTGCTTGGCTCTCCCTTCACTCCCTCCTCCCGCCTTCATTGTTCCAGAACTTGGAAGAGTTGGATCTCAGCTTGAACCCGCTGGGTGACAGCAGCTCCCAGGCTCTGGCCTCGCTGGTTCAGGCTTGCCCTGTTCTGAGCACACTTCGATTGCAAGCCTGCGGCCTTGGCTCCACCTTCCCGGAGCCCCACTACCTCCTGCTGGCCAACGCCTTGAAAGGTGAGAGGGGGAGTTCTGGATGCTGAAAGATCAGGGGTGATGGGAGGTCTTCAGAGTCAAGGGGGGTTTGCTGGAGGAGGGCCCTCGCTCACCAAAAGAGAGAAGCTCCAAGACTGTAATGGTGGCAGGAACCCTTCTTTCTAGAGGCAGGATGTGGTACAGTCATCCCTAAACATCTTTCTTAAACTTGTATCACGCATCAAGAGTTCTACTCCAGTTTTTCCCCACAACCCCCACCCTGACAGGTAGCTTTAGCTGAGAGTGTGATGCAACCAGCGTTACCCAGCGATCGTCTGCGGTTGAGGGTGGACTTGGACTGCACATCCTGGCTTTAGTTCGGCAGCTTATGCACTCTGCCATACTGGAGTAATGAGTAATAAAGGAGCATAAATGATGCATTGCTCTTTCGGTCTCCGGTTGGTTCACAGTCACACACTGTACCCATATACATTACACCAAACTAGTGTATAAACCAAAGGGGAAGTCAAGGCAGGAAAACAGCAATCCAGCACGCGCCAGCTTCCAATGCTGGCGTCCTGTAAAAGTTAAGTCTGGTGTTTTGTTTTTTTTAACATATAGTTTTTATTAAAGAAGGTTTTTATCGAGTTAAAAGCTAAACACAAAACTAGATAGAAAAATGGTAAGAAAGAAAAAAAGTGTTGAAAACAATAGAAAGCAAAGGGAAAGAAAAAGAACAAAAAATACTTAATGAAGCGAATTCCAGTCTTCTCTACAGCAGTTATAGACATACATGAGACTGTTTTCCCCCCTTCTAAATTATATGACACGGTTCCCTTCTCCCCATATTCAACCCTTATTAATCGGTAAATCCAGAAATCACTCTTCTTTTTTTCCCATTTTCAGCAAAAAGTCCATAAAGGGTTTCCAGTCTTTTATAAAAGTAGCTGTTGTTCCTTCCCTAATCAAACAAGTCAATGTAGCCATTTCTGCAAGTTCTGCCACCTTCACGCTCCATTCCTCCATTGTAAAAGTTCAGTCTGGTGCAGATGCTGTTGGGGTCTGAGGCCATTTGGGGCTCTGCAGGTGAGCTGAGCACCAGAGAAAGAGGAAATGCTCTGTCCCAGCTGAGCGTGTGATTCCTTTGGGCTGCCTCAGCTGAAGCTCTACTTGCTGAGTCTTCTGCCTGGCTGCCTGGGGTCAGCTTCCCGTGACAGCATCCTCTATTTTCCTTAATCCAGCTGGGAGGAAATTGGAGCCCCCATCGTGCTCTCAGATGAAGCACTGCATGGATCTGAGACTTGCTTCATGCAAACAGCATTGGCACAGTGCAGCTGGTGATCAGAATAAGTCATTTTTCTATGTCCTCACAAACTGCTGAGAACTGGAAACTAACCAAATGATTAAACAAAAGCACTAAGACCCGCAGAAACTAACCAAACTTAGATGTTGTGTGAATGGAGCTCCTGGGCCAACGATTGAGTTAGTAAAGGTGGTTGTGTGATTGCTACCCCAGCATGTCTCCTTTCTGTTGATTTGCCCTCCCCCAGCTTGTCCCCAAGTTCAGAACCCTTTTAGCACCTGCACAGCCTTACCTCCTTCATACAACAGAACAATCCCAGGTGACAAACCCAGATAAGCCCCTCCAGAAGCTAAAAGGTCCAGCAATGATGTGAGTACTTCTCCTTCTGTGGCCCTTGGAGGACTGGCCTTTGGCACCCTACTGACCTCCCTTGTTCTCCTAGCTGTGAGCGATGCTCTCGCCCCTCAAACATCTGGAGATGTTCCATCTCCCTTCTGTTCCTTGCAGGAGCTGTGCACCTCAAGCGACTGACTCTGTCCCACAATGCACTGGGTTCCCGTGGCCTTGGGGTGCTGCTGAAAAGCCTGCCCTGTGAATCGCTCACCCACCTCGAGATCGGCTCAGTGGAGCCCAGGGCGGGGGACCAGCCGCAGCTGAGGGATGCAGTGGTCAGGTATCTGGCGCAGGTTTGTGCTCTCTGGTTGCCAGGGGGCTGCTGAAGCAGTGGGCTGTCTTTGCTGCAGAATTTTGGGATGGGGAGAAGATAGAACACACATGACCCCCAGTCTCAATTCTATATCTTGATCCTTCTCTGGACAGGAAGGCTGCGTTCTTACCCACCTGGGATTCTCTGGGAATCACCTCAACGACAGCGACGTTTCAGAGCTAGCTAGGTAGGAAGGCCGCTGTTGCTCAGTTTTAGGGTGGGGGGGGTTGCCGAAAAGGGAGCTCTCTAGAAACGAGCCCATGGCATCCTTGGCTTTGAAACCTTTGATGGTCATAGAGGCCATCTTTGGGCAGAAGCCAGGCTGTCTTTGAGGCAATGGTGGGCCCCCTTCTGTTCTGCCACGCCTTTAGTTCTTCTCATTGCAATCCAGTGGGAGATGGTGCTTCCGAAAACGAGGGGGTGACTCCTCCCAACAGCTGGGACAAAAGCAAGAGAGTCCTCCTTGCCTTGTCTGCGAGGTAGATGGGAGGAGGTGGGGCCTCCTTCCCAGTAGAGCGATGCAGGTTGGTGGGACTGGAGTTGTGGGTCCAGGGAGCCTGGCCAAATGCTCTGCGGGCCCCTCCCTTTTCAAGGCCAGAGCCCAGGGAGCATTTCAGCTGGACCAGGCCTTGTGATGGGTGTTCCAGCTGCCTTGAAGGAACAGGCTGCCTTCCGAGCACATCCACTGCTCAGTTTGCTCTCCCTGCAGGAGCCTCCCCACATGCCTGTCCTTAGTCTCGCTGGACTTGTCCACAAACCCTGCAGTCGGCATTGTTGGTCTCCGGACGCTGTTACTCGCCCTGGAGGAGAGAAAGCAGGGCCTCCAGTTCCTTAGCCTGGCTGGTGAGCTTGTCATGGTTTTCTACTCTGTTCCCCTAATGGTCGAAGGCTGCAGCTGGGGACCCGGCCATTGTCACCTGAACCAGGGTATCATGTCAGGCTGCCCTGTCACGTGTGTGTGTTTAGCACGTTGGGCAACTCCAGCCCGTGTATCTACTCTGCCATTCACAGAAAATGAAGCAGTGCGGCCTGCACCTCTTCCGTACCCCATGTTGTTTCCCTGCCCAAATACGCTTCGGTTCCTTCTAGGAGCGGTGCTCAGGAGAGCAGCTTTCCCCCAGACCAGTTTTTCTGTGTCACCAGCTGGCTTCTGGAGTTACTTCACAAGGCCCTGCTTCTCTCTGAAGGGCTCTGATAGTATTTTATACAAAAGTTCCCCATCACAGCCCCCTTTGCTGCTTAACAAGGAGGAGGATGCCTGGGCTCAAGAGGGAAGTTCCCGGGTGATGCTGAGTCACAACCAACAGGCTTCCCCGCCCCCCTTTCCTAGGCTGCTCTGTCCGTGGACCCCTGGAGAAGATCACATGGACAAAGCTGTCCTCCCTGGTGCGTCAGCTGCAACTCTGCAGTCGGCAACTAAGCAGAAGCGATCAGTGGGAGGCCGCTGAACTGTGGCCCAGCCCAGCCAACACCTCCCGTCACTCTGTCACACGTCACCACAAGCTGTTCTACCAGTCTGCAGCACAGGCACCCTGAAGATGGAGGTCAGCCCATCAAGGACCGAGGAGTTGGGGACGTGGCTGCGTACCGCTACCGCCCTCCACAGGACCAGTACGGATGATTCTCAGTTGAAAGCGAGTAGCAGCACAACAAACTCAAGACAGCCAATGAGTTAAAGACAAGCCATTATAGCTGTGGATGGATGTGACGCTGACTTGTGTGACTGAGAACTTTGTGCCTGCAGAGAGTGTTTGGTTGGGAGAAAAAGCACCCCCGTCTTCTCCGTGGACAAAGCTGCTGCTTTTAACTAATAATTCTTGTAATACTGTCCCCTTGCTTTGAACTGTCCCATATTTATTGAAGGCCGGGGCTTTTCTTGCGCTGGCAGTAAGCAGAGACAGGAAGGGCTGCAGGCCTTCCCTGTTTAAGCAGGGGGTGGGGAGGTGGAGGCGAAAGCTTATGTGCGGCCTTGAGGAAGGAATGGTGAACCATCTCTGAATAAATCTGATAGATGCTACGGCCACGGGTTTAATTGTAGAAAGATTTTATTTGCTTCAGACCGAAGAACGTCTGCCTCTCTGAGGCGAAAGCAAAACCCAAATAAATACACGCACCCCCAATAAGCTACTGCTCCCCAATTCAAGGCTGCAAAAGAAGGGGCTGGGTCCATGGCCCCACCCCCATGGTGTAACTATCTCTGCGATGCAACCTATGCAATGAAAGCAGAGTTGTAAAATGTAGGTATCGACAGGGGGCTTCCTCTTTTTCAAAAAGAAGGGAAAGTAGAGTCCTTGCACTCAGAGGAGGAACGGGCATACGGACACTCAACAGCCTTCAGGACCACGTGTACACAGAGTGGAGCCCAAGGGCACCTGTTGCATTTTCCCTCTGCAGAATGGGTATCTCAGCCCTGGCAGGCGGGCCCGGCCACTCTTGGCCTCACGAGTGCAGGAAGCGGTTGAAAGCGTTGTAGGCTGACTCCAGATCGAAGAGCATCTGGCGGACCTGAGAATCATCCAGTTCATCAGAAGCCGACATCCCGCTCAGTGTCTGCAGCCTAGAGAGAAACAGATCCTGATCACAAGACTAGTGACCCCGCTTGCTTTCCCCGGGGAAAAAAAGAATTGGCTTTTGTTCCTATACCTCCGGTTCCTTTGCCCAGTCCTGCCTTTCTGGCCCCCTTCCCACCTTAGAACAGAGTGCTAGGTCAGAACATCAGCACAGGTCTTTCTATTCCCCCAGGAAAGAGCTCACCATTGATTTACTTTCTGCCGCCCTTCAAAGTCCGGGGGCAAATGGCTCATGCGGTTCATGGTTTCCATCAATTCCCGCAGATCTGGCTGGATCTGTGGAAGAGGAGAGAGGACACTCATCTTCCTTGCTCAGTCTCCATTATTTCCTATCCAGAGCACTGAACAAAGCAAATGCAGAAACTAATTATCTACCAGCCAAACAGGATTTGGGAGAACGGCACAAATCTTACATGAATCCTTTGCCAGCCGCTCCTGTTTGCAACCCAGCCTATGCACGAACTTGGGCTTCAACCCAAGTAAGCCCACAGCAGCAGTTGCTTCGAACTCTTCCCCAGAGACAACTTGCGTGACCGGTTTGCTCACCTCATCCATGGCCCGGATTTCCAAGCGCAGCTTGTCCATCACCGTGATAAAGAGCTGGAAGAGAAAATGGCCCCCCACCCCCAGTCAAGCAGGGCAGAGGAGGTCGGTGCATCCTGTGAAGCTCCCCCGGGTCTCCCACCGGTCCCCCGGCCTACCGACACAATGTCTGCGATGCAGCGGTTGAGGTTGCCCTTGTCATCCTTGATGGTGATGGGCCGATCCTCCTTGATCCTCTCCATGGCCAGTGGGCAGTCAAGCTGCGAAGGGAAGAGAGAGGGCCACTTCTCATGGCGGTCACCCGCTCTGGACAGGCCTGGGACTGGCTCTCCTTCCTCTGTCACGAGGCCAGCTGCGGCCCTCTCTCAACCTCCCAGTGCTGTTTGTGCAAACTCCCCCCGCCCCGTGCTCGACTGCTTACCCGAAACCTGCGGCAAAAGTCATCGATTGAGTTGATCTCCAGGCCTTGCACCTGCTTGAACGCAGCCTTATACTGGACCAGGAGGCGGGAGCAGGCGGCGGTGTACCTGGAAGGGCCAGGGAGGGCAGGGCCCAGTGAGCAGCGGAGGAGGGAGGGATCTGGCCCCTCCTCAGCAGCGGCTGGCGAGGCCGGAGCGCTGGGGCTGCTGGAGGTGGGTGTCGCTCCGTCAGGAGAGGAGAGGCGGTTAACTGGCGCTGCTTCTACCGGCACACAGCAACCCTGCCCTGAGCCGTTTGATAAACGTCACCCAGAAGAGACCCAGAAGAGACCGGGGCTCCTCCCGGGCCCTCGTTTCAGAAAGCTTTCTCTGGCCAACAGATCCGTCCTCTCCGTTTTCCTCTGCTCCTTCCTTCTCCTCCCGCGAGCGCTTTCAGACTTACTCGTTGGGGTTGACGCAGTCCTTGATGTAGGCTTTCTCCAAGGCCTGCATGGTCTTCACCACCGCAAACAGCTCGGCCATGTGGTCGTCCCTGGAACCGAGCGGGAAGGATCCCTTGGATCGGGGCCCTCGGGCACGGAGGGCCTGACTCGGCGCAGGCCG